GAGTAGCCTGGGAATCATCTTCATTTATGCAGAACATGCTCCATAAATAGGGGTAGGGGTTTCTCTTACATATTAGCACAGTCACAGGATCCTAAAACTAAACTATTCCAACAAAGCCCTACTGCTCAGAGCCTAAAAGACAAGAAATAAATAAAGGCAGATACTTCTGCGGGTTGGCAGATGGGGATTTATTTATGAGAGTGATAAAATGTGATTTTGCCAATTGATCCTTCTAAAGCCTTGTGTTCCTGCACAGGATCTTCCGTGTACCTCCAGTTTCCTAGCTCTGAAAACCCAGAATTGCTGTAGTCTCAGCTTCCTTCCTGCTGGTGCAGCAGCAGCTGCCTGTCTTTCTTCCATAGAATTAGGAAAACAACCCACTTGAATAGAAGTGTGAAGCCTCTGGAAGAAACCAGACCTGTTTTACACTGCATTCATACCAAGTTACCTAAATCTGAACTCTCTTTGTGCCTTTTAAAGACCTGAAAAAGACTTCTATTTAAACAGAGATCGTCAGTATCTTCCCAAGATGCTAGTGAAAGCTGCTGGAGTGTCCACTTTGGTTACAGTTCCTTGCTGCATGTCTGTATGCAGCGATCACATCTCCAGCACCTTTTCCACTGGGTTAAACCCCCGAAGTTTCTCTAGACTTAGTTAAAGCCAAAGTTTCTGTAGACTCCACCTCCAAGATGAAGACTGTCAGTGCAGAAGCCGCTGCCCGAGCACTCACAGCCCATCCAGGAGTTGCACATCCACAACCCAAAGCTTTTCCTGCTGGAATTGGGGGCCCTTTGCTGCAGCAGCTCCAGTGAGGCCATGGGTTCCTCTTTCCACTCCTCGCTCTTGATTTTTTGGCCTGGGGTCTTCCAACACCTTACTGAGTTCTTCCTGCACCTCCACAGAGGCCGTGAACTGTTCTTACCTTGTTTACTTTCAGCTCCTGCTGACAGTGGTAGCTCCTTATCTTCTGGTTTGTGCTTCCACGGCTGAGTGCGGGACACTACAGAAGTCCTAGACTTTGGATAAACACCTTGTGTAAACAACATTCTTCTCACACTGAAGACAAAACACAGCAGGTACCACCTTCTAGGAAGATTGCTGAGAGAACTGACTCAATCCCAGCTAAAAGTGTGTCTAGGTGAAAGTCCATGGTTTACGGGCTAAGGCTTCGGCAAATCTCATGCTCATGCTAAGGACGTAAAGCTGAGCAAGGAGCACACTGAACACACGATACTGTAAATCGAAGGGACTCCATTTAAAACTTACTGGTTTAAACTAAATATAGTGGCTTTCCGTCCCCCAGCATCAGCACGGCTTGGGGGGTCTGTGTGCCTGCTCCTGAGCACACGTGCCCATTGCGCACCCCATGGAGGAGCTGTGACTTGGGGATACACCAGCCATAGAGGCAAGCCTGACCTTGACACGGCTTTACTGTGAGGCCACTCTCACACTGAAGAATGTCTTCCTTTAGGTTAGACGTAAGAACCTCCATTGAGCCGGTGTTCCTGTCTGTGCTTGGTTGTTTTTTTGGTGCATTCATCAGTCTCGCCTGGATTTCTCTCTAATTCTTCATTAACTTCACCTGCTGTACAGATGAGACTGGAGAAGGGAAATGTTGTGTATGGGGGGTCTCATTTACATACGCACAGGTCCTGTAGCTGTGTCACACACGTACACCTTACAGAATCATAGAATGGAATCACAGACTGGTTTGGGGTGGAAGGGACTTTAAAGCTCATCCAGCTCCAACCCCTGCCACGGGCAGGGAAACCTTCCACTTGACCGGTTTGCTCCAAGCCCCTGTGTCCAGCCTGGCCTTGAACACTGCCAGGGATGGGGCAGCCACAGCTTCTCTGGGCACCCTGTGCCAGCGCCTCAGCACCCTCACAGGGAAGAACTTCCTAATCTCTAATCTCAGTCTCCCCTCTTCTAGTTTATAGAAGCACCTGAGCACACCCCCCAGCACACCACTAGTTTTCATAATTTTTCTCACCCTCTGAGGATCTTTTAAGCATCCCCCAGGGTTTGCAGTGAATTTATAAGCAATTTTTCTAACCCATACCGAGGGTTTTGTTCAAAATGGGCTGAATTAGTGGCAATTCAACAGCCACCTACTGGGAAATTACAGCTTGACTCACACAGGGTAGTCACAAAGGAGGTTGAATATCTGTGTTTATACCCAAACAGCCCACCACACAGGTTTCTTCTGCAAGCACCATGTAATCAAACCCTTCTCTAATCTCAGAATGTCCTGAACACTCCCCTTCACCTGCACTGTGCTGCTGCTTCTGCTTTTATTATTCCCCAGGGCTAAGAACATTGTGCCTGTACTGAAGAGCATCTCATCTGGCACATTCACCTCACTGGAGCTGCTCAAAGGGAAAAAGCACCTGTAGTGGCAATAAAAGCAGGAAAACCCACTTCTGCACACAGCTGGATGTGCAGAGAGTCCTGGTCACCTCTGGTTTAACCCAGAGCCACCCCTAGATCCCAGCTATCGTGTGTCTGCCCTAGGAAACAAGCCCACCACTGCAATATTCAGAGGGTAGCAGCAACCAGCTCAAAAGCCACTTGCTTCAAACATCTGCAAACGCTCTATACACTTGCTTGGAAAAAGGGATAGTTGGGATTTGGTTGCTCAAGTCAGGTTTTGCTTCAGCAAACACGGCTAACCCGGGGTGGTATTTGCTAGATATTTGTTCTGCAGCAGGGTCAGGCCATGGTGCCCCCATCTGCTTGCTAAGGCTGAACAAAACCCAGCAGCACATCCCCCTTGTGCCAGGTTAATAATTCAAATGAGTCTTATTTTGGAGGTGCCATCACTCAGGCTGTGGTCGGCAGGTCCAAGGGTGCTGGCCCTCTGCCCCACTGCCAGCATTAATCATTGACCCTGCAATTAGCACTGCCTCCATATAAATGCTTGGGATGGATTTCCTGGCGCTGCTTTGCGGCAGGAGGAGGGAAACCTGCCCCAACATGAGGGCAGCTCTTGCCCTGCTGCTGCTGGTAGCCGCCGTGCACGCCGAGCACCGAGGTAAGGGCATCTATCGCCTCTATGGGGCTTTGCTCTCCCCCAAGCACGAGGGGTCCATCAGCTCTGCAGGTTTTCAGTGCCCAGTGCCAAATCGTTGAGCAGGAATCCAAGAGAGGGATGGGAAAGCGCGGGATGATGTTTTGGTACCTGGGAATCCTCTTCAGGGTGATGCTGGGGCAGCTGGGTGGGGAAGATGCTGGGGTTGGAGCGGAGGGAGAGGACAGCATCACAGGGCTTTTCCTCTCTTTCAAGTGAAATGAGATTTTCTGACCCCTTCACAAGCACCATTTGACTGCAAAACCCACCCCTCAGATGACAAGGATGCCCTGTGCCACCCCTTGCCCTGCAGGGAATCGCCCACCTGCCAAAAAGCCCCCAAAACTTACTTCTCCCACACGGCTTTATGAAAAGGAAAAGAAAGGCAGAGAGCTGGCACTTGGACAGGACTGACAGCCTCTGTTCCCCTGACGGAAGAGAACTGTGTTTTAGCTCATCTTCCCCTTCTTCCCCACTGTTACCAGCCCTGCAAAAACCCAGTCGGCCTCTCTTTCCCACCAGAGCAATGTGACGTTTGCTGTAATGCCACATAACCCCTTGGTTTTGGGGACATGACCTCGCTCCATGCTGTAATACCAGTAAATACTGGTATCAGTATTTACCCTGCTGGTATCAAAGTCTAACCAAGGTGGATCATAGCAAAAATCAATAGCGCTTTTCCAGGGATGAGAGACTCACTGGGGGTGTCTTCACTGCTGGGTGCTCCCGATCTCCATGGTCCTGCCTCCAGAGCTCCAGACCCTGCCACAAAAACCAACAACGTGCATTGCAAATACCCAGAAAGGTCAATTTGGACAAGGGGGAAAGCACATAATTCTTGGATGACTGTTTGTGGTGGCGTAGCTTCCCTCATTCCCATGCCAGTGTCAGGGAGGGAAGTGGAACGTGAGAGCAAAATAAGGGGTCAAGTGGGAACAGGGTTTCCTCAAATAATCGTTTTCCCTGGCAAAAAGCAAAAAACTCAGTTATTTTCTGTAGGAGACTGAAGGAGAAACGTGGCTTTGTTGCCACCCAAAGATAAGGGCACAGGATGTGATACTGCAGGGCAAAGCAAAGCCAGCATCTTCCCAAATCCCAGCCCATGCCTGGTCCCAGCTCCCCAGCCATTACTCAAGGCACAGATCCTGCTCACAAATCCTTCTTTTCCTGCCCTTACAGGTAAAGCTTATGTCCGGGACAAAGTCTGCCAGGAGTTTAAGACCCTGGGGAAGGAGAACTTCCGAACCCTGTAGGTACCTCCTGCTGTATTTGTCCTCCAGGGACACTCAGCACCTAAGCCAAGACAAAAAAATATGAAAGAAAAACACTAGTAGGAAGGGAAAATGTATTCCCAGGCTGTTTTCCAAGGAATACGCTGGTATTCTTTGCAGCACCACAGCTGCTCCTCTCCGGCTGATGGTGTTAAACCCGCTTTGGCAGGACAGCGCTGCAATGTGAGTTTTGTTCCATGAGAGAGGAACACACCACCGCTCATCCTCCCCTTGCTCCCTGCCCCCAGGACCATTATTGCCAACAGCAGGAAATATTCCAATGCCACCTTCGAGGAGATCAACCACCTTGTCCATGAAATCGTCTCCCTCGCTGAGACCTGCTGTGCTGACAGTGCTGACCCCTCCTGCTATGATGCTGGGGTAAGGTTGACCGCAACCGGGTGATGAACCCCCAAAACCAAGGATGGGATGGGGTGGGATGGCCCCTGGCACTTCGCCTCCTCTCCTACCCACAGTCCTCAGCTCTCTCAGCCAAGTCCTGCAGCAAGGACTCACCATTCCCGGCTCACCCCGGCACCGCTGGCTGCTGTGCCCACGAGGGACTGGAGCAGAAGCTGTGCCTGGCTGCACTGCGGCACCCGCCCCAGGAGCTGCCCCACTACCTCCAGCCCTCCAACGAAGAGATCTGCCAGGCCTTCAAGAAGGACCCCAAGGACTTTGCGGACAGGTGAGCCGGGCTGGCGATGGCACTTGGTCTCACCAATAGCGCCCAGTTGAGCTTGGGTGGGTGCCACCAAGCCAACCTCTCCTGGTCTCGTCCCTCTGCCGTCGCTGCCGCGGCTCTTGGTGGCCACGGGGTGCATCAGAATACAAAGTTGTGGTGTCCTGCCCCTGCCCAGGCCCCAGAAATGGGATTTAACCCAAGGGATGAGGGGTGCCATTGTCTGTGAGAGTGGCTGCAGAGGGGCCACCACGCCACTCAACGGCTTGGTGCCATAAGCCAGCGTCATGGGGTGGTATCTGGAGAGGGATCCCATCCCCAGACTTCCAGTGCCTAAAGGGGCCAACAAAAAATCTGAAGGCTTTTGTCAAGGGCTTGTTGGGACAGGACAAGGGGGAATGGCTTTAACCTGGCAGAGGGGGGATTTAGGTTAGGTATAAAGAAGCTCTTCCCTGTGAGGGTGCTGAGGCGCTGGCACAGGGTGCCCAGAGAAGCTGTGGCTGCCCCATCCCTGGCAGTGTTCAAGGCCAGGGTGGACACAGGGGCTTTGGGCAACCCGCCCTTGTTTGGAGCAACCTGCTCTAGTGGAAGGTGTCCCTGCCCATGGGAGGGGGTTGGACCTGGATGAGCTTTAAGGTCCCTTCCAACCCAAACCAGTCTGGGATTCTATGATTCTATGATCTCCTGAACCCATCCCCATGGTGCCGGGTCTCTTCATCCACCTCTGCCGCAGGTTTCTGTATGAGTATGCCAGCACCTACAGTGAGGCACCCCTGCCCGTGCTCCTGGGCTCCACCAGGACCTTTCTCTCCATGGTCTCCACATGCTGCATCTCCCCCATGCCCACCGCCTGCTTCCTGAAGGAGGTGAGGCCCTTTGGACAACTGGGCTTGTCCCCGTCCTCACTCCCCAGGGAGCTGGGTGAGCACCAAGGAGAGGTGTCGGGGAAGGGCTTGCGTTTCCCTCGGATGACATCTCCATCTTTCTTTCTGTGGCAGAAACTGGAAAGGAAATCCCTCTCCCTCCTCACCCTGATGTCGAACCGGGCTTGCTCCCGCTTCGTGGCGTATGGAAAGGACAAGCTCGCCTTCAGGTAAAAGGGAAATGGCCTTTTCTGTCCTGTCCAGGAAAGGCTCTGTGGGCAGCAGAGGTGTAGAGCAAGCCCCGTGGCTCCCCATCACCTCCATCCTGCATCTCTACATGGCAAAACCCTGTTCGGTGCTGTCAGAGGGGAAAAGAGAGCTGAGCTCTCAAAGCCCCTCATACACCCGATGCCCCCCCAGCTACCTCACCTCGCTTGCTCAGAAGATGCCCAGTGCTTCCTTTGAGGACCTTTTCCCCCTGTCAGAAGATGCGGCTGAGGTGTTTTCCCAGTGCTGTGGCTCAGTGGCTGAGGACTGCATGCAGAAGAAGGTAGTGGAGCCTGGAGCCCACCCCAAACCCGCCTCCCAGCCCACAGCAGGGCTGTGGGAGCTAACCCCATCATGGTGAGGGGGTGCTCAGCCCCACCATCCCCACAGCCCCTCTGCTCCCCTCTTTGCAGTTATCGGAGCACACAGCCAAAGTCTGCGCCGTGCTGTCGGCCCGAGATGAAAGGTTTGCCGACTGCTGCAAGGGCAAAAACCTGATGCAGAACTACTTCTGCATCTCGGCCTTGCCACCAGCGCTTGCCTCCAAACTGCCTGAAGCACAGAAGCCAACGAATGAGCAACTCTGTGGCGAGGATGCGGCTCGCTACGCCAAGAGGCGAGTGGTGGCTGTGGGGCTGAGCTGCTCACCCTTCCTTCTCCCCTCACCTTCACTGTATGCTTTGATTATGTCCTGGTTTCACTGGGATAGATTATTATTATTAGGATAATGGGAAGCATCCTCTCTTCCTTTGGGGTATCACCTCGAGGGGCTTCACAAAGGTGAGCAGCATCAGGAATAAAACCTCATCCAACAACTCGTTTTCCCTGCTCCAGGTACCTGTTTGAGCTGGCACGGAGACACACCAACATCCCTGACGTCTTCCTCAGCCAGCTATATGCTGCCTCTGAAAAAGTCCGGGAGGAGTGCTGCTCTGCCAAGGATGCTTCTGCCTGCCTGGACAGCAAGGTGAGCAGTGGGGATG